CTTCTATCCCATTTCATATTAATGAATCTCCTTTACAAACAATGATCTAGAAGGTTCCGGCTCATATGTGTCTGCTGAGCTCACAGCAGGGGCTCAGTAAATATAGAGTGAACAGAGAGCAGTGCCATGAATTTATACTTGACATTTCTTACATATCCACAGAAGTTGATTGAAAATCGAGGCATTTTTACTGAGGTATCGACTATACTAACAATTTTTAAAATCAGCACCGAATCAAATCTCATAATTCCTGGAGAGCAGCAGGATGACAGGCAGAAAGGTCCTTCCAGTAGCTGTCCTGGGGCCAGTGGTCATCAGTGAATCTGAGGCTCTCCTGCCACTTGCCGCCCCCTGAGCCAGTCTCTGCTGGCACTGCCCAACTAGCCTGCAGGTTGACACAGGTCTGGGGTGGGGGAGGGACAGAGAAATCAGGAAAGATGCAGATCTGGAGCTTCTTCCTGCAGCAATTTGGTCCCAGTTGGGCATTTCATGGAGGCTCAGAATGCAGATCATTAAAGAAACTTCTGGAGAAGATTAGCATCTCACTCTGTTGCAGAGGTGCTTGGAATCAGTGTCACTCCTGGGTCAACATCTGGTTTCCCCAGCCCTGGGGGCAAGGCTCCTTCACTGTCATGATAGAGTACCCCACACTTATCTTCCCAGGGAGGGTGGGGTCACAGGTCCGACAGCCAAGACCGTCATTTCTCACACTCCCCCATCTTTCCCAGGGCCTTGTGTGAATGCTGTGAGAAGCCACGCCCGTCAGGTTCCCAGCAAAGATTCCATCACCTTGCGCAGAGCCTTTATCAGTATGTCCTTCTCAAGGTCTAATTAGAGGCTCTGCTGCTGTCATGCACATTTGTTTCCTTCCTCGGCACCTCTTTGAAGGTGGACAAAAGCTGCTCGCTCCTGACCCCAGCCTCTCATCTGCCTGCAGTTTCTTTTCTTGAAGTCTAAATCCCGGCCATCGCCCTGGCAGATGTCCTAAGTGCTCTGCTGGGTGCACTCTCATTTCCAGTGCCTCCTCTCACTCACCTACGCACAGTCCCCTGGTACCATCAAAGGCTGGCAACTCTGCCAACCTCCTAGCCAATGATGAGCGGATGGACGGGTCTGTGGGGCTAAGGCTGCCAGGATGCCAAGACAATGCAGCTTCAGGTGAACCCCTCTTTCTGGACTGTCCATAGCCCATCATTTTTGTCCTGGACTCTTTGTGTCCCCTTCCTCCCACTTATGGGACTCAACCTACCATTGCTCTCTGGTGGCTCCGAAAGGATTCAGAGAATTTTTTTTTCTTTAAGACATTATTTGAAATAACAAAGAATGAGGACAGGAGGCCACTGCAGATAGGGACACCATCCCAGCCCATGACTCACCCCTCCCCCACACCATGTTGCCACACCTGGGCAGGGCTGAGGGCAGGACTCCATTCTCCCCAAATGCATGGCCAAGGCGGGGCAGTGGCGGGGGGGGGGGGCACCAGGGCAGCCAGACACCCCTGTCTTGGCTTAGCCTGAGTTTTCCCCCTCAATAAATTCTCTCCCATGGATGCATGGGGGTGAGCAGAGGAACCCAGTGACCCTAATGGCCCCAGAAAGATCATTAGAGTTGGTGCAACCGAGGAAAGGGCCCACCAGGGAATGGCAGTGTGGCCTGGCCTGTGCCAATCTTGAGCATCTCTTTTGAGTGCCTAATATGGGGGTGTCTCTAGGCCAGGGGTGAAGGGGATGGAAGCAGCCCTCGCTCCCATCTTGGGGTTGACCAGCTGCTGAGCACTGTCTGTGAGGTGAGTTAGTGCGAGGGTATCTGCTTGGGGCAGGGGTAGGGGGTTGTGCAGTGAGAAGTTGGGTGTATTTTGGGGGACAGGTTGTCCCCATGAGCTGGTCCCATGCTCTAGCCTCGAGTGGCCAGGCTGAAGAGAGTCTTGGAGGATGGATGGCCAGAGCCACACTTGGCAGTACACTGTAGAGCAGGAAGCTCCCTAAATCTCTCTCCAGCTGAGGAACTCTGCAAGATGGATGCGCCAGGCCAGCTGTCACGGACCAGCTACCTGGGAATTTCTTGGTGGCCCGGCCATGCACAGGACGCTGCCCAGCTCTGATCCCTCCCCAGAGGGCTTCAGGAGACAGCAGCTCCATAGAGAGGCAGTCAGATGTCCTGGGGATGAGACCATTGGTCAGTGCATGGACGTGGGCAGGAGCTTGGTCCATGGACCAGCCAACACCCTGGAGAGGACAGAGCAATGCGAAAGAAGGAAGGTGGCCCATGCTGTACAACTGCCATGTCATCCAGGCAAATGGCAACAAAGAAACCAGCTTCCTTCTGGTTCATGCTGTCCTAACGCTGCGGCTGATTAATTCAGTCCCTGACGTCTAAACATCAGGCCTCTTGTCCCTGAAACAAGGCACTTCTGACCTCAGGAGACCTCGTTTCTATTGGGGCCAGACGCAGTGCCTCCCCAGGCAGGATGATCCCCACGGAGACCGCAGTCAGGGGGTGTGGCTCTTCTCATCTCCCAGTGCAGCCTGCCTGGTCTCTGACCTCTAGTTTCTGACCTCCAGGCCACCCTGCAGACTCCTGCATCTCCTGCTCTGTGCGGGGCATTCTTTCACCCCTGGGTCTCATCCTTCTAACCAAGCCTGTCTGGGCCCAGCACCAGGCCCCTGCTGCTCAATGTCCTGAGCCTCCCAGCCTTTGCACATGTCCTAGGCTCCAAGCAGCTTCCCACGGCACAGTGGGTGACAGCTGGACCCAGGACACAGCATTTCCAGCTTTCCTCCCGCTCTCCAAACGCAGAAACTGCAGGCCCCGGCCCCGAGACCAACCAAGCACAAGCCCCGTGGCTGCACAGTGAGTGTCCCTGGGGGCCTAGGCCACTCCTGCACTTTCTCCCCCTGAGATGATTAGATGATGGGACAGGTCACGGGTAGTGGGAATGCCAGTGGCCTCATGGCCTGTGGGGGCCCCTCCCAAGAAGCCCTTGTCTCTGGGCATGTCAGGGAATGGGTGGGTTGACATTCAGAGACCCCAGCTCCTCCAGCCGGGGGTTCCTCCTCCACAGTGAGCCTAGGTCTCAGCTCCACCTGCCAATAAAGGACCTAATATGTGCTTTTTATGTTTTCATCTTTACATTCAGTGACACTTCATTTTGCAGAAGCTGCTCACCCCAAAGCTCTTGGGCTGCTTCCCAGAGGTGGGATTGGGGCCAGCTGGTCCTTGCAGTGCCAGAGGCTTGGGGCATGGAAGAGCCCACTCATAACCCCTGCTCGGAGCAGCCCATCCCAGCCCTGTCCCCTCGGCCTGGCTCGACCCTCCTCTGGGTGGCTGAAATAGGCCCAGCAAGGACCACAAGGGAGGGGTGCAGCTGAGGGGTGGGTGGGAGTAGGACCTTGTCTCAGCTCCTGAGGACCCCGTCAGGAGTGCTGGGACCAGAGGGAAAGGGCGGGGAGGTGGCCCAGAAAAGATGATAAAGGAAAGAGACAAAAAACCACACACCAGAAGATCCCCAAACCAGACACCTACTGACCCAATAACAGAGAGCGCGCACTGACCAGCCTCTCCTGTTCTCCATTCCAGGGCTCCGACCCCGCCCCACAGCCCTCTCTGGTGCCGGAGTCCCCACATCCAAGCTCACTTTGCCACTCAAGGGTTAAGGACCATCCTACGGGGCACCCCAGAGTGAAGGGCAGACACTCATGTGCAAGCCTTGGGCAAGAGCTCGGGGCCTCAGTGAGGGTCACCGACTCTGGCCAAGGAGCAAGCGAGACAAAACACCTTCCCGCTGTAGTAGGGCAGGGTAAAGACGCCCGTGGCATTTTTACGCGTCCTCAGTTTTCTCATCTGCAAGTGGCATGGAGATGCTAGAAGGACCTTCAGAGGCCATGAGTCCTCCTGGATTTTCCTATGAGGAAGCTGACATCTGAGGAGGAAGGACTTGCCACCAAATTCGCGGCACAGCAAAAACCCAAACGCTGGGCCCCCGACCTCCTCTCCAGGGCCGTTCTTATGACCTCTGCCCTAGGACACCAGCGACACACACCACAAACCTCAGGATGAGAGAGGATGGCAGGGCAGGGCCCCTCCCCACGGGGAGCAGCGCCCTGCAGCCCAAGGGAGACCCAGAACTGAGGCCCCCGAGCAGAACGGAGAAGGCCTGGCTTCATGAGCACGAAGACGGACGCTAGACCAAGGCAGTGGGCTGGAACCCGTGTCCCTGCATCACCTGTGCCCTCAGGGGCTGTGGCAGCCGTGGGGTGCCCTCAGCTTTCTGGGAAGGTGGAGTCTGAAGCTGGGCAGGGGCTGGGGGCAAGAGGCTCTTTCAAGTTCTAACCTCACAGTCTCCCATAGGAGACCAGCTGGGCCACCAGAAGGTGTGAGGACCAGAGTGTCACCAGGGTGGCTCTCAAAGACCAGCTGCTTCCCTTCCCTCCCAGCCACACAGCCACCCAGGACCCCCACTCCTGCTCCCCACGGACCTGGGAAGCGGCTCCAGTCTGGCCCCAGGACTGTTGTGGGCTGGGGGAGACGACAGGTCTCCAAGCTTCTCCCTCAAGTTCCTCACTCCCCACAGCCCCCGGCAGACCTGGGGCAGAAGGGGTCTCCCAAGAGCCCAGCCAGCACTCAAATTCTGAGTCCCGGTGTTTTGGGGGCTCTGTCATTGTCACCGCGTGCACCTCTGCTTCAGCCACCCACAAACTGCAAAATCTCCCACTGCAAGGACATGTCACTGAGCATCGCCACCCTCCTCTCTGTGGACATCTGGGTTGTTTCCAGATGTGTCATTATATATAACACTGCTAAAAAGGAACCTTAGGAATCAACGTGTTAGTGGGAGAGGCGCTTCACCTGGGCCAGGGAACGGGGGGTCCCAGAGGTGCAGACGGCACCCTCCCCTCTCCCTTTGTCCTGCTTGCTCCATAGACCTCTCAGGAGCCACGGGGCCAAGCCCAGACCCACAAGACATGTGTCAACCCCAGGAGGAGCTCGGGATGGTTCCCTACCTGCTGCGGCGGGGCTCGCCCTCTGGAGAAGGAGCAGCTGCTGTTGAGCTGCTCGCTGCAATCCGCTGTCCACTGCAGAACAGAAAGGAGGGGTCGGTGACGGCAGAACAGGCAGGCTCACCCCACTCTGTCCACCCCCCACCATGTGTCCCTGCCCCTTGGCCTCGGAGCCTGTAGGAAATCCAACTTGGCATTTTCAATGGCAAATCCTTCCCCTCCAAGGTGGCCTCTTGCACATTCCACATCCGTCTCCACACCCAGCTCCAAAAGACGACAGACTTGGCATCAGGGAGGGGAGCCCCAGACTGGCCATCAGAAGCTGGGCTTGAGCGTCCCCGAGTGGGATCTGACAACCACCTGCATGAACGTCCCCAAAGTCTGCTCTGCAGAGGACCTGGGCCTCACCATCCACCCTCTGAATTGGACCCTGTGAGGTCCAAGGACCAGCATTCTGACAAGCTCTCCAAGTGAGGCACCAAGAGTTTGAGAGCCACTGAAAGTCCTCTGATCACCCACGGGTCATTTTGTCATCCACAAATGTCATCCACAAATGTCATCCACAAAGCTGGACATCCTGCAAGGTTGAGGCAAAGGTACTTTGGGAGCTGTAAAATACTATGTAGGCATCACGTCACGGGGGTAGGAGGCTCCTCCCACCAAGGGCAATCCAGCCACACGGTGGCATTAAAGGTGGCATTAAACGTCGGCTCGTCTCTCCAGTGCCGCTGAACATCGACCTTACTCTACACACTCTACACGCATAAAATGCAGAGGGAGCTCAGTCCCTACAGATCTGAGCTTCTGATCAAAACTGAGCATGGGAGACTTGTCACCAACAAAGCCCTGGTTTTCTAAAACCTTGTCCAGTCACACTCTCCAGACAGTGGATCAAGAACCCGACCTTTGTACAGGACAGACCTTTAAGTATGATGCTGACAAAGGAGATTGAGTTCAAGTGTGCTCTAGAATAGCACCTTCCAAACCAAATGTAACGAGAGCCACAAATAGGAGCCGCAGACCTAGTACACGTTCTAGTAGCCAGATGGTTAAAAGAGAAGCAAAGTTAAAGAGTATATTTTACTTAGCCCCACGTATCACTCCAACAGGCAATCAATTAAAATAAATGAGTAATGAAATAGTTTGCAATCCTCTTTCCACACTAAGGTTTTGAAATCCACTCAGCACACAAGTTTGGATGAGACACATTTTAAGGGCTGCACGTGGCCAGCGGCGCCCGTATTGAACAACACAGCTCTAGAGAGACGGCAAAGGTGGTAGATCCACTTCTTGCCCATCCCTGTCCCTGGGGCAGAGGAGCTGACCTTCCCAGGCTCCTGTCAGCTGCTTCCGGCTGGGTCAACCCAGGAGATAGGAAGGAGGGAGAAGCCAGGGCAGGCTCTGTCTCCGTCTGTGCGTCAGATGGCATTGCTAGCCGTGCCTGGGTCTCTTCCACGGTTCCAGCCCTCACCTAACAGGCTTGGATGCTTAACTCTGGGCCTGGTTCTGGTGACACCATCTCTTCCTTGTGCCTCACAGGCAGGGGTGATAACAGCTACCTGTGGGTGCTAATTTCTGGTAGTTTAGCTTCTTAGCTTGTTTACCCTCTGGGTAACTAATTCTCTGGATTAAATTCTCTCTGTTTGGATAACTCCAGTCTCAAAATATCTTCCCCCTCAACATTTATTCATTGAAAGATAAGAAACCTATCAGTCATCACTTTAACCCAGGGAGAAAATAAAGTATATTATCATCCTGAGCTTCCTAATATGGTGTGGAGGGGGAGGGCATATCACTTTTAAGGTATTTGTACTCAAAATGCACATCTCAATGTAATCATGAGAAACACCAGGAAACCCGAATTAATGAACTTCCCACAGAATCAGTGACCGGTGCATAACAAATGTATCAGGGTTGTGAAAGAAAAGGAAAGACCAAGATAGTATCGGATTGGAGGAGAATAAGGGCACGTGACAACTAAATGCAAATTTGGATCTTGGCACAGAGAAACGATGTTAGTGGCAGAACCAATGAACTATGAATAAAACCTCTAGTTAACACCATTGTACCACTCTTAATTTCTTAGTGCTGATCATTGTACCATGGTCATGTAAGAGGTACATATTAGAAGTTGTGTTACAGGGAACCCTTGGGACTGTTCTGCACTTTGGCTGTAAGTCGAAAACAAAAATTCAAAACAAAAAGGAAATATGTATGAATACACGTACATGTATCCACTATGCAGACAGACATATAATGATGTGCACATACACATTTTGGATTGACACATATGTATGCACATAAATGGCTACATGTGTGTCTGTGTAGCTTGCACTACTGTGAAAGTCCCTCTGCTTTACCCATTGGAGTGGTTTTCCTCTCCAGCTGAAGTCTGGCTAAGGAATAAGGTGGCTATTGCTGTCCCATCCCAGGATGGCCTCTCAGATAAAGTCTTTCCCTTTCCAGGTGTTCCAGACACTTCAACAACAGTGCTGATGTGCAACACTGTTGTGACATCCTATAGAGAGGACGGGCACAGCTCCTTCTGGGGTCAGCCTGCCCCTCACAGGGTGACAAGCATGCAGCCAGTGTGCCTGCAACCTCACCCCCCTTGGTGAGCCCACCCAGAGCAGCTCCAAGCTCCAGCAAGACAGCTCTGCTGTGACTGCACTTTATGTCTGCTCACCAAAATCTCCCACAGTAAAGCGTGTTCCTCGCAGGAGGGGCAGGATATGTGAACCAGCAGCAAGGCAAGCAGAGGTGGGGATGTGCAGTGGGGAGGAGGAAGGCCAGCTCTCTGCAGGGCCATGAGGGGAGGAAGGCAGAAGCCCAGGGTTCTCAGAGACGAGGGAGCCCAGGCCAGGCCTGAGAGCAGGGGCAGGGGAGCACTTCTCCTTGACGGCAACAGGCTCACAAGCTGCAGCCTGGGTCCTGGCCACGTCCTCTGAGGGGGATGGTGTGTCTTCCTCGCAAGGCTCATCCAGCCCAGAGAGGCAGGACGGTGGGAAATTTTTCTATATGGGAACAGTTCACAATGAATCCACAGAAGTGGTTTCAGGGTCTCAACCATCGCTGATAATATCTATCTTAATTTAAAAGTCTAGAGCAAACAAGACACAAAGTTTTAATAAACGTATGAGTACAGGTATTCATTCTGAACTCAAAATGGATGTGTATTTGATGATTCTCTACTCTCATCTGTACATTTTAAAATTTCACAGTTAATAAAATTAAAATCAGTCATTTCAGGTTGGCAATAGTCTTGAGCAGATGCTGGGGAGGAGGGGGTCACAGGTGATGAACATTGTAGGAGGAGGAGCAAGAGTCTAAAATTCCCCCAGGTACAGATATCAAAGGCCACGTCACAGGAGAGCCACATCACCTGGTGCATCAGCACAGGAACAGAAAAACAGACGGGCTGATGACCCTGCACCTAGAAGCCAATTAACGAACAACAGGAACTGGAAACACGATAAGGAAAGCACTTTAAACTAGGGAAAGGAGAGACTCATCAATAACCCCATGGAACTGAGCCAACAGCCAGCCGCTAACAGAAAATCTCCTCTAGGTGTCCTCCTTACAAGGTCCAAGGAAAGAACATTCCAAGTTGATAAAGATCTGAGAATCAAGTTCAAACTAGAGCAACATTTGAACTTCTGTGTATGTGACACTAGAAATCACGAGCAAGAAAGAAGACAAGTGAGAGGCCACGGGCAGCAGGTGTAGCCAAGGACACCTGGCTAGACACACAGAGTTCCCAGATAAGTCCAGCCCCTTCCAGGCTGTGGCGCTGATTAACATTTCCTCCTCATGGCCCCAGGGCTCTTACTCACTCCTCTAGGCCAATGGGGGACGGAGGCATAGCAGGGCATAGCAGGGCGAGTGCCTTGTCCAGGCCCAAACATAGCAGAATGAGCAAGGGGCTGAATAGGTTTCCTTCAGGGCCAGGAAAAACGGCAGCACTGAATGCAATGTGTGGTCTGGAGTCCACCAAGGTCCCAGCAGGGACTTTTTTTTTCAAATAAAGGATCTGATTGGGAAATTGGTGAAATATAAGATACATAGATTAAATGATAGTTTTGTATCAATGTTTATTTCCCATGGTATGATTATGTAAGAGAAAACCCTTGTTCTTAGGAAACACACATTGAAGCATTTAGGGATAAAGGGGGGTAATATCGCAACTTACTCCCAAATGGTTCAGAGAAATCCATAAATACAAGCTTGTGGCGTGTGTGTGTGTATGTGTGTATGTGTGTGTGTGTGTATACATATATATATATATATATATATATATATATAGAGAGAGAGAGAGAGAGAGAGAGAGAGAGACAGAGAGAGAGACAGAGAGAGAGAGAGAGAGAGAGAGAGACATGGAACATGCACATATAAGAATTTGGAAAAATATTGACAATCAGGAACACTGGATGAAGGACATGCAAAAATTCTTTGTATTTTTATTGTGATTTTTTTTAATGTAATTTAAGATATTTTTGGATTACTCCTCCCCAAGCGGCCTCACTTCCTCACCTCCTTCAAATCTTCCAACAGCCCAGCTGCCTGGGTCATAAATATTTCACCTTTAACATCCCATATCCTGTTTTCCCCCACCAAAGTTAGGCCTTAGGAGGGCAGCGATCATGGCTGGTTCCACTCATGACTTTGTCCTGAAAGCCTACAACTGTGCCTGGATGAATAAATATCAGCTTTTAATTATATTTTACTACTTGGTACCTGGCAGAATAATAGAAGATCTAAACACCACTCAAGAATGTCAAGGAGATCATTCTAAATAAAAAGCAAGGCGAAATTTACCTGTATGTTAGAAGCACGACTTTGTAAAAGGTGTATAAGAAAGAATAATACACAAAAACTACATGAATTTTTATCATAAAATGACAGTGGACTTCTTTTCTCATTAATCTGTTTTTCTAACTGTTGCTTTTAAAGTAAAATTTAAAAAGATTTTTTTTTTTTTTGGACTAGAGATTGAACTCAAGGGTTCTTTCTCACTGAGCTACATTCCCAGCCCTTTTTATTTCATTTTGAGACAGGGTCTCACTAAGTGGCCAAGGCTGGCCTTGAACGTTTGATTTTCCTGCCTCAGCCTGTCCAGTCCCTGGGATTACAGGCATGTGCCACCGCACCCAGCTACAAGTAAAATAAATTTTAACCTACTTAAAAAAAAAAAAAAATGACTGGCAGTCAGATTTGAAAGTGCTCAATCTCACTAAAGATCAGTGTGATGTGAATTAAAATGGCAAGATGTCCCAACATGCTGGTGGCAGTGTGAACAGAGCAGCATTTTGGAGAGCAATTTGGCAATAGTCATTAAAATTAATTCCACTCCTCAGTAGCTAGCTAAAGAAACCCTCTTATGTGCACAGAAAGAGGCCTGTCCATCCAGCAGTATGCACTGAAATTCCGTGTATCTCCAGAGGGGAATTGAGAATTAGACTGGATGCCAGCACCAAGGAGGTACTTGGAGAAACCCACACCACGGGCTCCAGTCCGGCCAGGAAACAGAACCCAGCAGATGTCCAGGCTGGCAGCACCCTAGGGCTTCGGCTGGGTGAACACTGTGAGTTACTGAACCACATGTCCACGGGCTACAATACATGATTTTGAAATAAAATATTTCTGAAAATCATATATATGTCAGTAAACACATCAAAGAGGTGAGGTCACTAACTCAGCAATTTGATATTAGGGAAGGGCAGGGGAGTGGAATGAGGTAGGATTCAAGGGAGATTTTATTGTTACTGTTTGAATTCTTGCGCACCGTGCAGATGTATGCATATAATGACTGCATAACACAAAAATAAAACAAGTGTGTCATGGTAGTGCACACCAGTGGCTGGAGAGGCTGAGGCAGGAGGATCACAAGTTCAAAGCCAGCCTCAGCAACTTAGCACGGTTCTAAGCAACTTTGTAAGACTCTGTCTTGGAATAAAATATAAAAAGGACTGGGGATGTTAAGGGGTTAAGAGCCTCAGGGTTAAGTGCCCCTGGGTTCAATCCCCAGTACAAAAAAATCAATAAATAAATAAAATTTTTTAAAAAATTTCTTAGACAAGGCAAAATATATAATGGACCCCCATGCGCAGCCCCCCACAGGCCTCCTACAAACTCACTTCTTCTGTTAATCCCTTCATGGGTGGTCCACCATTGAGCGCTTCCTCCTGTGAGCAAAGATGGCGGGAAAATGGATCCAAGGGTCGGAGGAGATGCAGAAATGGGATAGAGAGTGGGGGAGGTGACAGGGAGCAGAACAGAAGCAGAAACACAAGAAGAGAAGGAAGACAAGTTAGAAGGCTCTGGTCCCCTTCCTTCTCCCCATCTGTCTTTCAAAGATCCTTTTGATATTTAGAGCAAATCCTGGGCTTCCAGGTGCTGGACAGCATCGAAAAGGACCAGAGGAAGGCACCTTCACCCTCAGTGACTCTTACTTTGATCCGTTAAGGAGAACATTCTAGAAACTACACCTCCGATAAATGTGCCTGTCCTTCACTGTGTCCTACCTCCCATCCTTCCCAGAGACTAGAGGAGGCAGCTGGCCTTGCAGAAAGGAGACACTGGGCTGTCCACACCAGCAGGACATCAGAGTCACTCGGGGCTCAGAAAAAGTCTGTGCCCTGGCCAACTGGATCTCTGGGTGGGACCTATGCACCAGAGTTTTTCAAAGCTCCTGAGTGGTTCTGCTCAGCCATTGCAAACACTGCTCTAAGGCTTTCAATGATTCCCCAGGTCACCTACTAACACCGGGAGTGCCAAGGTTTTCCCACCACAACATCCCAATCTCTTCAACAGAAGAGTTAATGACTAATGAGATTGGGAGTCTTAATTCTCTTTCTATATAATGAACCACCTGACATCCTATCAGCCATAGCTCATCTCCACCAGAGAGCCAGAGGTAGGTGAGGCACAGGTTGGTCTCCGCCACCACTGAGCGGGGTGATTCGGCCATTTTCCACCTCTGTGCCTCAGTTTCCCTCCTGCAGAATGGAGCTATAATTCCTTCAGAGTAAAGACAATTGTCAGGATGTGGGGACTTAGAATTTATTAGAGAACAGGTAATCCTGAAATGTGAAATAAGAATGTAATTTAAAATATGTATGGGAAAGAGTTTAGAAACTGAAAACATACATCCTCACGGCTACTCATGTAAGGGAAGGGATGCTCACTCCATTTATCATTTATCTATTTGTCTGTCTGTCTATCTATCTATCCATCCACCCATCCATATACTTTTTCTTTCTAGTCCTTGCTGGGCAAGGAATGGGGACATCACTCACTGACATCTCTCAGATCCTGAAAAAAACGGCCTCACCCACTGAAGAGTAACATTCTTCTCTACTCCCTCAAGATTCTTAACAATTTTCCTCTCCCAGACACTTCAAAACACCACCACAGACAGGCAGGCAGAGACATTCTTTGAGTGGTTTTTAAAAGAATTTTTTGGCTTCCATTTAAAATATTCACCAGATTAAATAAAAACAAGCAAAGTGCTTTCACCGAACTATTTTCCATGAAGCTGCATCACAGGGGTAATTTTTTTAAAGAGGTGTCTGAGGTCGACACATCTAACCCTGGCCTTGGGTAGACTGGCCACAGCCGCCACTCCTCTGGAACCTGTGCCCAGGTATGTTTGTGGATGTGTGGGAGACAGGCAGGGCCTGGTGTGAGCAGAACCAAACGGTCCCCCTCCCAGCAGCACGCAGGCTGGTCTGGAACCCCTCCCGGTGCGCGTGCCTTCTCCAGGAACTTCAGAGGGTGCAGAAAGTTTAAAGCCTGCATCCGGAACAAGAGGTGCCGCTGCCCACACTCTGCTTTACAATAAACATCGTTTAAAAGTCCCTCCAGAGTCCTGCCTTGGCTGCCTCTCAGATCTGGGTGTCCAAGAGTGAGTCATGTCCAACTGACCCTGGGAGCAGGAGGCAGAAGTGCAGGGCCTGGGCTTCAGGCGCTTCTCTACCAGCCCTGCCCTGAGAGCTCGGCTGCCCCGAGGCAGAGCAAAGGCACTGGTGGGGGTCTCCTTCCCAACCTGCCTCCCCATTGGCTCAGAAACCCTACCATGGAGCCGGAAGTGGTGGAGCACCACTTGGGAGGCTGAGGCAGGAGGATTGCAAGTTTGAGGCCTGTCTGGGCAACTTAGTAAGGTCCTAAGTAATTTGGTGAGACCCTGTCTCAAAAAAAAAAAAAAAGTCTGGATGGAGCTCAGTGGTAAAGCATCCCTAGGTTCAATCCCTAGTACAAAAACAAACAAACAAATAAAGAAAGAAAGAAAGGAAGAAAGAAAAGAAAAACTACCATGGCAAAACATTTCTGGGTGTGACGCTGCACAGCTTCCTTGGACCCTCCTCCTGCAAGAGCATGCTTTGGCTGGAGGGACCTTCCAAGGATGCCCTGCTGGAGGCCCAGGGTTCACACAGTGAGGGAGGCAGGCCGCACGCCACCGAGCACCAGGCCCCATCCTCTATGGATGCTCCTGGGGACGACAGCTCCGCATGCCTCTAGGCAGCTGTGAGAGCTGGTTCTCTTAGAGCTGGTCCTGCCCTTCCTGCCCTAGTCAACCAGAAGAGGTTGACTCTTCTTGGAAATTTTCCAGTGCACCCTGGCTCTCTCCACTCCCACCCCAGGGCAGGATGTTGCTAACTGCAGAGCAAGGTGGTTGAAATCGAGAAATCAATTAATGTGTCCTCAGACAAGACCCTGCCTTACGTGCAGGGCATTTGTAGATCACAGGGCCATCCCACCCCACTCCCCACATGCCTCTTGGGTCAAAGCCACGCCCTCCACCACCCTCTGGTTCTTCCTTGGGGATTTGGAGATCTGCGCTTGATGAGTGAGCAGGCTCAGCACCCCCCTCGGCCACGACCCCCTCTCCTGTTGGGTTCGCCCTCTGCCCCACTCAGTCCTATGCTCGTAGCCGTACCTTCCTGCCAGCTCCTGCACCTTTCACTCAGGGTCAGCCCGCCTAGCTGCCAGCTCACTGCCTCAGGCACCAGAACTCCAGCAAGTCCTCAGCTGGCGAGGACTCCAGACCACTGACCCGTCACCTTTCAGCATCCACTGTCTGGCCTGGTGCCCTCTCCCCTTCTCGCCTGGCAGGGCATCCAGCTGCTCACCACTGTCACTCTCCCGTGTCCCTCACCCTTCCTCCCTCCTGTGTTCCCTAAGAAAGCTGAGTCCTGGTCAAGGTCAAGTTCAAAACTCTGCCCCTGCCTGTCCTGATTGAAAGCACCTGGAGCAAACCCTCCGGCTAAGCTGCACATGTCATTTTAGGCTGCAGGATGAGCTGCTGGGGACAGAGAAGGCAGGGCCCCAGCTACACGCCTCTCCCGGTGCATTCCCAGCCCCTCGCACACTGCTTTTGAAACTCCTGGGGGACCTCACTCCCCCCAACACCACCGCGTTTCCAGCTGGGCACCTCCAAACAGTGGTTCGACAGGCCTTGTCTCCTCCCCATCTCCTGCTCACCCCCAGCCAACCCCAGCCAGACTGCGTCTCTACCGCTCCACAGGGACCTCTCCAGGTGCCACCAGCCCTCCCCTTACGCTACCTGGCAGCAGTGTTCCCGGGAACCGTCCTCGCTGCTTCCCCGAACACCTCCTTCCCTCGTCCTTCCCCACTCCACTCCCCGGGTGTCCTCCAGGCTCCTGGGACTCTCTGGGGCTCCTACGCATAATCCTTTCCAGTTGTTGGGTGTCTCCAGGGCTCAGCCCTAGGCGGCCTGCCTCTCTGCCCTGCACCCAGCTTTCCTCTCCCTCTGCCCCAGCACGCTCGGCCCCTGGCCGGACGCCTCCTCTTCCAGTCCAGCCCTGGCATATGCTGTTCCTTCTGTCCCTAGTGATTCCCCCCAGGGACCTGCTTGGCCCTTTCCTCCTCCAGAGAAATGGTCTCTGACTGCTCTAATTAAAATCCCAAGCCCTCCTGCTCTTCCTCACCACCCCTCTTCCATCCTTAGGGTGGCAAGGATCACCCTGCACTGGAACCTAAGTTCCATGAGGCAGAGCTCTTTGCAGTTTTGTTCACTCCTGGACACCAGGAGTGTCCTATGGAGCCCAGGATGGGCGCTCCATTCACCCCCGCGGGCCAGGCAACGAGCAGGCGACAGGCTTACAGACGTGTGATTTAGAACCTCAAGGGCACGGAGGGAAACATCACCTCCATTTCTATTTCTCCCACAAGGCTGCTCCCAGGTCTGAACCCAAGGAAAGCCAGGGGTCCATTCTGGCTTTCTAAGAAGCTGGAAGGCTGAACTTCCTCCCCACTGAGAGAGAGAGAGAGCAAGAGAGAGAGAGAGAGAGGTGGCTGCATTTGGCCTTTCTCCAGAGCAGGGCTTGCCACTGGGTGCCCAAGGTCACACAAGCAACTAGAAGCAAATCTGGAATCAACTCTAGAAAATATCTACAGGGGATTTATTAGACAAAGAGACGTGGGATACACATTTATACTTTATTCAGGAGAACTCAAGACTTCCAAATCTTGGCCCACAATCTTTCAACTGAAGTCAATTCCTATCCAAGGTCAGGGCTGCAAAAGACTGGCCCAGGAAGGGCAAGTGCCACCTGAGCTTCTGGTCAGGATGCCTGTGCCTCTGACTACATAAGACACGTGGGGCCCTGGGTGAGGGGCCCAGGACACTCACTTCTTAGGCTGCCAATATCTGCTTGCATTTAAAATCAGAGAAAATGTCCACAAGGTTTAGCTCTCTGATGGTCCACGCTGTAAATAACATACCATCTCCAGATCTCTTCTAGAATATGAGCTTGTAGAGAACGGGGAACAGTGCCCAGAAGATAGTATGTGATCAATAAATTCATTTTCAAAGACTCATGCGACTGACTGGGCCTCAGCTGCCCATGGTCAGGAAGAGTAGAGGAGGGTTTAAAGGTTAAGCATGTACAGCCGGGGAACAGGGGGCTTCCTGCCTAGATCCCAAGGCCTCTCCTGTGGGATTCCAGGTTGGTTCCGGGTGGGACCGATCACATCTTGGCACTATAGGGTCAGGTGACGGACACTGCCTGGACTCAGGGTCCCCTGTGTCACGCCATTGAGTTTGCCAAGTGCCCTGCCCCCGTGCTCACCTGGGAGATGTGGGACTGCGTCCTCTGGCTCTCAATGTCACCCTCCGTCTTGTCGGTCAGCAGCCCCTGCACCTGGTACTCCAGCACGTAGCTGTCGATGAAGCGCTCCAGCTCCTCGATCTCCTGGGATCGGCTGCTCCCAGCCTCCGAGGAGGCCGAGGCTGCCGACGAGTTCTCCATCCCTCCAGCTCAGGGGCGTGGGGCCGGCTGGAGGCAGAGAGGAGAGACAGGCTGGTGAGAAGCTGCCGGTGAGCCCCGGAAGCCCCATCTCCTCTGTCCCGGCCTCCGTCTCCCAACGGCTAGAGAAGCTGGCGGGGTCCTGGCTTGTCTTCCGCTTTAAGAGCATCCCACCATGTGGGGAGGGAAACTGAGGCCAGAGAGGGCAGGAAAGCGGCCCAGGCGGCCAGCACAGGGACTGCCGCCATGATGAGGTTGCTGTGCGCCAGATCCTCGGCCTGGGAAAGGCAGCAGAGAACCCAGACAGCCCCCAGGCCCTGCCGCCCCAATTAGACCTAACGAAATCCACCACAAAGCAGAATAAACAGACCACAGACCGGTGTGTCCCTGACGATGTCCTCGCTAAGGAGGTGCAGGGGGTCCCCAGCCACAAACCAAAGCCCTCCAAGAAAGAAAGTGCCTCCTTCTAAAGAGACTTCCCCCCCCAATCACTTTTCCCTGAATTAGCTGAAGCCCCCAGGCCTGGGTTATCAGCAGTTTTCCAGCCTTGCTCCTGGGACGTCAGGTTTGCAGGAATGTGACTGACTTAAAGTGACAGAACGCAAAAGGCCTGGGGCGGGGGGTGTTGTCTGTGCTGACATGGCCAGCTGAGCTGTGTGGAAGCTGCCTGGCCACCCTCCAGGGGAGCGGGACCACCCCCCACAGGCCTGTGGCAGACATGACCAGCTGTTCCTGGGAGACCAGCTGAGTCCACCAAGGACACTGCGGGCCTCCTGATCAGGCTGGGCCAACCCAGCCCTGTGGGGGTCTGAGCCCTCCGGGACACCCCCACTGTCCTCTCTCACCCCTCGTGCCTGCAGTCAGAACTCACTCAGCTGGGAGGGGGGCAGCTAGAGTCCTCACCTCCAAGTAGGGGCCCTCCCCTTGCTCCTCGGGCTCACAGCCACACGGGCAGGGCCCGAAATCTCATCTCGGGAGACCTGTGATCTCCTTGGACAGCCGGCTCGGGGTTTCATCCCAACTCAGTGAAAGGTTCCCACCAAACCACCGCGGCCCTGAGAAAACAAGGGCCTCGTGCTGAAAGGAACATCTGAATTTCAGATCCCTGGGTTCCCGAGCACATGTTGGTGGTGGGTTGGTGGAACAGGGGATTGACTCAGGGGCACTCCACCACTGAGCACATCCCAGCCCTATTTTGTATTTTATTTAGAGACAGGGTCTCACTGAGTTGCTTAGCGCCTCACTAATTACTGCAGCTGGCTTTGAAAGAGCCTCCTGCCTCAGCTTCCCGAGCTGCTGGGATTACAGGCGTGCACCACTGCGCCCCCGGCCCCAAGCACATTTTAGAACAAAGCTATCAGCTAGTGGTCAAGAGCTGGTTGAGTGTTTAACTATAATGAATTGAAGTCAGGGCCCAGGAGTGCTGTGGAGACTGGCTCTGGACCCCCACACCCTCCCCAGCCTTCCCCAAAGGTGCTGGAGACGGGGACGGAGAAGGGCCCAGGAGGTAAAGGACGCTGGGCTTCAGACTTATAGATCCAGGAGATCAGAAGCAGATACTGTTTTAAGCCGTCAAGGTTGCAGCGATTTGTTGTGCGGTGACAGAAGCCTCCTTCCTGCCTCTGTGCTATTTACGGCTCTCCACCCGGGGCACTTCCCCTTCCCCCACTTTCCAAACCTAGCGGTCCTTGTACTCAGGAACGCTGCAGCAGGGCCCTACAGGCCATCTGGCAATAGGTCCAGTTCCCTGGTTTAAAGTCAGACAAAGGATCCACCCTGCCACGGCCGTGGGCATGAATACCATGAGGTTTGGGTTTGTTTTGGGTTTTTTTTTTTTTTGGTACCAGGGATTGAACCCAGGGGTGCTTAACCACAGAGCCACATCTCCAGCCTTTTTGTATTTTATTTAGGGGCAGAGTCTCGCCAAGTTGCTTAGGGCCTTGCGAACTTGCTAGAGCTGGCTTTGAACTCATGATCCTCCTGCTTCATCCTCCCGGGCCCCTGGTATTACAGGCACGTGCTGCCACGCCTCACTGAATACCGTGAGTTCTAATAACTGGAACGCAAGCATTCACTGCACCTGTACCGTGTGGCAGAGACTCTTCTCAGCACTTCATAAGCTCCACACATCTCACTCTCACCACGGCACTGAGAAACGGGCTTGATTATATTCCTTAGAAGAGGAAGGGAAGGCTCAGCAAGGTCAAGGCATTTGCCCAAGTGCACACAGCAAGGCTCCAGCTCAGCACAAAGAGACCTGCAGTATAGGCTCAGAGCCCGTCCTGAGCAGGTGGCCTGAGCTGGATGGGAATGATAAGGCTGATGTCCAGACAGAGCTGAAAAGGAGCCACCTGCAGGCAAAGTCCTTCTCTAAGGTCATGCCAATTATTCCTCGAAGGCTTCAGATTTTATCTAGGGCTTCCTGGCACACCTGACAATGGACATGTTTTGCAGAAACTCGACAGGCAGCGGCTTCCAGGACGTTGATGCTGGACTCTGCTGCAGCAGCAGCCTCTGGCCTGCACTGGTGGACTCTCTCGGGGGTGACTGAGTCGCAGGGCCACCCCACAGTGGTGTGAGGGAGCCTGGGAATGGAAATGACTCCAAATCCACAGGAGCTCACTGAGCAGAGGGGCCAGCACCGAGAGCCATCCCAACCCCACAGCATTTTGGTGGCCAGAAGGCAAAAGAAGACTCCCTGCCATGGGCCCCTCTGGCATCCCCCTGTCCCAGCCCCTCCTCCACCAGCCACTGCTGCCCGATCAGATTCAAGCAATGTGCAGTGGGGCCAGCAACGCCTGGCCTCAGGACCCCAGTGCCCCCTGCCCAGGGCTCCTGTGACAGGAAACACCCTCAGTACCTCACCTGGCCCCTGCAACCCGCAAGAGTCAGGAGCTAACACCCCAAGGGGCAGCCCTCAATCTGGACAAATCTGCCATTTTGGGTCCCAGACAACAATTCTGACGCACATTCCATTTGGTCCTTCAAGGGATTGGAGTAGGTGGAGCCCCAGTTGCCCACAGTGGTGACCAAACCCACAGCACCCCTCACTTCCTTCCCTCCTCTCCTTCCTCCTCTCTCCCAGCTCCTGGAGCCCCCACTGTACACTCTACAGTGGGTCCCTGCAGTGAGCTAAAGCCCTTCCTTCAGAAGGGGTTGGGGAACGTTCAAAGCAGAAAAGTCCCAGGCTGTTCCTCTTCTGCGGAAGAAGAGGAGCAGAGGGCCAGAGTGGCAGGAGGAAGCTGGGCCAGGCACGGATGCTCTCGCTGCCCCGGGGTGTTTCCACTGGCTGGTGAACACAGCAGTACAACACTTTTGTACACACTTTCCACGATTATCCCCTCGGTCCTCCATTAGCAGGTGTTTGTGTGCTTCTGCATTTGGCTCTGGTGAACAGCTGCTATGGCTGTGCATGTGCAAATACCCGCCTGCGTCACCGTGTCCCACGCCTGGGGGCACATACCCACAAGTTCTACCACATTTTTAAGGACAGAGTGGCGTTTTCTCAGGTTAGTGGGGTGCCGGGGAAGGAGATGCTCTGGACAGCTGCCTTCCTGTCTGACCTCCGCCCTGGGGTCGATCCTGGCTCCATTTCTCTTCCACACTCACAGGAAAGCCCCAAAGAGCCGGGCCGCTGGGAGCTGAGAGCCAGTGAGCAGAGACTTCTGTTTTAACACTCAGTGAAAGTGAAGGAGGTTGGGCCAGAGGAGGAGGGAAAAGACAGAAAGGGGGCAGAGGACCAGGGAGACCTCTAATTGAGGCATCAGGGATGCAGAGTGCACCCGGGAGGCTGAACCCAGGACTCAGCCCTGCAGCATCCCCGGGCCCCTGCCTGCATTCCCTGCCAGGTGACGGATGGGGAAGGCCAGCAGCCAGCACTGGGAAAGCTGAGGTCGCTCTGCTGTAAAGGACACAACAGGGGAGGACAGCCCTGAGCAGGCAGGACGGGCTAGGGCTCCTGTGCTGGGGATTCCTGAGAGGTGAGGGCAGCCAGGCTTGGCTATCTGTGGCTATCTGGGGAGAAGGACAGTCACGCTGTCCTGCAGGGGTGGCACCTCTGTGTGTTAAGAGACCTCACCGGCTGGGGGTGGCACTCGCCTGTAATCCCAGCAGCTCTGGAGGCTCAGGTAGGAGGATGGCGAGTTCAAAGCCAGCCTCAGCAAAAGCGAGGTGCTAAGCAACTCAGTGAGACCCTGTCTCTAAATAAAATACAAAATAGGGCTGGGGATGAGGCTCAGTGGTTGAGTGCCCCTGAGTTCAATCCCCGTTATCATATATTAAAAAAAGAGAGAGAGAGAGAGATTTTAACTCAGCCCTGGGGCCCCCAGCCTCCTGCTGCAGCCAGTCACACTCCATGCCTGCCACTGCAGGCCGAAAGTCCAAAATGAAAAACACCCATGTTCTCCAATGAGAGGCATTTCCCCCACACTCTCCACCACCCAGGCCCGCACAGCCCACCCTGAGCTACTCCCATGAGCCCAGAGCTGCCTGGTCTCCTTGGAGCCAAAGCACAGGGGCAGGTCTCCCCCTCCAGCCTCCCCTCCGCCTGGCTCTGAGCTGGAGAGGCTCGCAGTGCCTGTGGGGCTGCTCTGAAGGAGAAGGTAGGACAGACCTCAGGGAGCAGCCCCAGGGCCCAGGGACAATACTCGGCAGCCTTCCAGCCCTCTCAGCATCCTTTCCCACCTGCCTGGTGACAAATGGCATTAGGAGCTGTAAATTTAGCCAGTCCTTTTAAGAACAGCCATTACCTCCCGCTCCACTCCCCAGGGCGTGCTCGGTGACCTGCAAACCAGATGAGACTTGTCTGCTGGGCTGTCCCCAGCCCTTCCCAGGAGCTCGTGGAGAGCCAGCCCTGACACCACCCCATTTCCCCATGGCCTTTGCCCTCTGCTCCTCAGCATCCCGCAGAACGCCCTTTCTGGGAACGCACGCAGGGCGCGGAGGAAGAGATCCCATTTTCTGCTTTGAGCTGCTACCAGGAGCTGAACCTCCCTTGGTGGGACCCCAGCCAGCTGCAGGTGACCAGGGGG